TGGATCCAGACTACATTGGCAATTTCCACTGATTCCCTCTGCAGACCTCCCTAATGGAATTCCTCATGGTCCCATAGCCTTCAGGTGCAGCATTTCATGGGTATCAGTGAACTGCAGTAGGATTGGGGAGGTGTTCCATTCTGCCATTGGAAAATTTAATCTGGATCTATCCATCTTGCTGTATCACTTAATAGCATGTTACGGTCTTGTATCTCTTATGTATGTGCAGTTTCTCTGGATTGTGCCCCAATCGATGATATTTTAGTGTACCTAATCCAGTCTGAATACACCCAGAACATTTCAAATACCATTTTACTTTGTCATAAAGCTTTCCCAAAGGACAGAGGCTCCTGATTCTGTTTCCACATTACTGAAGTAGAATATTTCTTTGCAACCTGTTTCCATGTTGCACCAGTAGGGGTGTATGCTCAGTATATACTGAACCAAATAAATACCCGAAAAATATCTTATCTTTCCCTTTGCACTTTGCTCCCTGCACAAAGCAGTTGCTTCTGTGTTCTGTGAAACATGCGACCCAGTCCTTTTCACACCTTAGCTTGCGATATTATTCGGATTTTATTTGGGCTCAGCTTCACTTGCCAAGTAGAACTGAAGTCTGAGTTCCCTGTGCTGCTACAGTGGCACAACTTAAACTGAACTAGAAGGTATTTAAAATGTAAATGCCTTCTGAAGTCACTTGCCTATGCTGCTGCTGCAGTGGCGGCTTTGAGAAGGCATTTAAAGTTAAATGGCTTCTCCAAGCCCCACTGTGGTAGTGGTGGTGCAGACTGGCTTGGCTTTGCAAAAGTCATTTAAAGGGAAAGTTCCCTTTAAATGACTTTTGCAAAGCCAAGCCATGTGTGAGTGAATTCAGAAGTGGTGCAAGTTCACCCACCCCCTTCTCCATTATACCCTATGTGGATGGTCCCCATAGGGTATAATGGAGCCACATAAAATTGGCAATCCCAATAATTTTCTGAATCCCAATATCATACTGATATTCCCGATTCCTGAATCATATTGATGTTCCTGAATACCAATATACTGATACTAGGATTTGGGAATATCAGGAAGTACCAATATTTTTCAGGTTCTATTTACCCGAAACCAAAAAATATCAATTTTTTTTGCACACCCGTATGGACCAGTAATGGAATGCACCCAGTCAATCATTTGTCATGCCCCTCCAATCAGCACCCAGAGTTGGTGTGAAATCTTTCACAAGTCTGTCTTCTGCCAATGAGGGAGGCAGGCAGAGGACACTGCTGTTCCATCTCTGATGGAGCCTGCCGGTCTTTACACATCCATTTCCAAAAACTGAGCCCCACTGATACTGTGATTTACCATTTTGCTGCTAAAAAACAGCCCCGTTGCCAAAGCGACGTGTAGCGTCATGTCCTGGCGATGGCGGTGCAATGCGTCTCGCTGTCCCCGCGGCACGGATTCTGCGAAGACATGCGGATCCCCCGCCACGATTTTGCAAGATTTGGTAAGCCTAGGACACTCAGAGGATTTGGCTTTTAGATAGTTAGTTTTCATTTGCAAACTCCACATGCAATTCATGTTTAAAGGGATTTTATGGGCAAAGAAATGTACTTGTTATACCAATGTTACATCTAAGTTATATTGTTTTATAAAAGTTAATCAAGAAAATAAAATTTTGTATTTCTTTTTACCAGAGTGAACAAATTGAAATGGAAAAGGGAGTTGTTAAAGCAGAAAAAGTAGAACCAAAGGGGAGGAGCCAATTGGAAGGAATGTGACTAGAAAAGAAAGGGGCTCTACCAAAAGGAAAAGGGGCCCTGGTGATACCTTTTTTTTTTTTTGCCCAGGGCCCACAAAACCCTGTGACTGGCCCTGGGCTCTACCAAAAGGAAAAGGGGCCCTGGTGATACCTTTTTTTTTTTTTGCCCAGGGCCCACAAAACCCTGTAACTGGCCCTGCTTTCAAGTGTAAATACTCTGAATTAATAAGGAAGGAGCTGAGGTAGAAAGGTGTGAATCCCATCATAAATCCTCCAAGGATGAATTTTCTATGCAGTCAGCTAGAACAGAATTAGCAGTAAGCAGGGCTGAAGAGTCCTGATTTTAAAAGCCTGCAGGTGCAGGTGGTGAAACATCATGTTGGAGTAAAGCAGAGAGAAAGAGATTAAGGAATGGATGGGTCACAATGGTATGTAGCACACTCGGAACTGCTTACAGCATTGGTTTTTTTGTTTTTTGTTTTCTTTTGGAATCCCATTTTCGATATTGCGTGGCATAGCATGTCTGATTTTTTTTGCACTTTTCTAGTTTTTGTAATCCCAGTCTTATTACAGTGCTTATTAGGTCTCTCATGCTATTTGATCACACTGTTTTATGTCATGTAATCTATTTTGAGTCTCAAGCAGAATATTGGTAAATAAATTATAAAGCATCCTTCCTTATTAATAAAAGCCAGTTGGAGTGGCAAGATTTGATGTGCGGCAAAATCAGTTGGCCGCTTGAACTGCCACTCAGGATGTCAGAAGGTCATTGGCTCCATAGACTCAATCCTGCCCACACAAGCAGCACCCACGAAAATTTGCCTCACACTGTTCCTGGCTCCCTCAGATGACGGACACTCCAGCCCGATCTGCTTATTTAGGAGGAGGAGCTGCTGGGGGGGGATGGGCTTCCCTGGCCCACTGGCCTTGCTGGGCCGCTGGGGCAGCCTGACTGCCCTCAGGGAGGGGGAAAAACGGCCACGCAGCACTTCTTTGGCCCGGCGCAGCCTTTCCCAGGGAGGCCATGGGCCCTTCTTTGGGAGGGGGGGAAGGCCTCGCCGGGCTTCCCTGCGCCATCGAGACTGACCTCGGGGAGTGGGGAAAGGGCCGCACCGCATTTCCCTGGGCCAGCACAGCCTGGCCCAGGGAGGCTGCGGGCCCTTCTTCGGAGGGAGGGCCCCACCAGCCTTCTCTGGGCCAATGGTGCCACCCAGACTGGCCTCAGGGAGTGGGGAAAGGGCCGTGCCACACTTCACTGGCCTCGCGTGGTCTGGCCCAGGGAGGCTGTGGGCCCTTTTTTTGGGAGGGGGAGGGCCCCACCAGGCTGCTTTGCACCACCCTCGGCCTCTCTGGGGTGGCCCAATTGGCCTCGGGGAGGGAAGCCTGGCAGCCTGAAGATGGATCCGAGTGGCGGCACCTGGCTGGTAAATGTGGGTCCACTCCAGGAGGTCCCCCTCACTGGCACTGGACTGCCTCTGGGGCACTCTCTGGGGCTGGGGGTTGCAGAGCTCCCCCCCAGGCAACTTCCGAGGCCAGATCGAGGCCACTGAGCAGCTGCGAGTCTGCCTGGCCATGCCCTACAAGGGCCACTTCGTAGGCAAGCAGTTGCAGCGGAGGAGCGGCAGTAGTGGTGTCTGCTGGTGGAGCTGTTCCACCTCTGAGGTGAGGGCCTGGCCAGATGCCAGCCTCCTCCCGCTGGGCCGTTGAGTCGGCCGGCCGGTGCTTGCAGCAGGAAGGGGGTGCTTCTTTGGGAGGCAACGGGGCACGTGAGTGCAGGCACCCCCCCTCCCCGGTCTTGCGGGGGCGCCCGGGAGGGATGAGAAACCATTGAGGGCGGAGGCTGCTGCAGTCAATGGGGGGGTTGTTGTGGTCAATGGGGAGCTGCCGGACTTCCCTGCGCAGCCCCCCTCCGCCTCGCTGGCCCGGTGCAGCTTGACTGGGCTCGGGGAGGGGGGAAAGGGCCACGCCGCGCTTCCCTGCGCCGGTGCTGCCTGGCGGCGAGTTGCACTTACCCAGGCCCTTTTCCTAGAGCTTGTCGCATTCATTTTCGCGACGGGCCTTTCTCCTATTAAATAAATAATACCGTAAACAAATAATGATGAGCTCACCACTGTGTTCCCTCTAAGTGTGAGTGGCTGCTCATTAACACAGGAAGCCCTGCTCAGTAGCAATCTGGAGCCACATAAGGTCTTGATTATAGATTATAGCAGTTATATTCTGCTCAGGATGTGAACTGCTCAGTGTGTGTGTGTGTGGGGGGGAATTAGAGGGAACATTGCTCACCACCACTGTACTCATTTGCCCTCCTGATAAAAATTTTCTATCTATGAGCCTGAATGGATGGGATAAAGGAACAGTTTAGAACAGATAGACTGTGTAAGAAATTATGATGTTGGTACTTTACTATCCCTTCTGTATAAGATGCTATGGCTTAGTGGAAGAGCATTTGGTTTGCATGGAGAAGGTCACAGGTTCAATCCCCACCATTTCCAGTTGAAAGGATCAGATAGTAAGCAATGTGAAAGATGTTTGCCCAAGACCCCAGTCAGCCAATATCAGTCAGAGACAAGAAGAGCTTGATAAACCAATAGTCTGATTGGTCTAAGGCAGCTTCATCTGTTTATGTGAGGCCAACAGTCATCCAAAAAATACAACCCCATAAAAGACGAATTAATAGGTGAATTAACGCTGAACTGCAGGCTGTAGAAGGTCGGTAGTTCAGCAGTTCGAGACCCGAGTGTGTCGCATGACGGAGTGAGCTCCCGTCTCTACTTCCAGCTCCTGCCAACCTAGCAGTTTGAAAGCAAGAGACTGCAAGTAGAGAAATAGGTACCACTTCAGTGGGAAGGTAACAGCGTTCCGTGCGCCTTGGTGTTTAGTCACGCTGGCCACATGACCACGGAAATGTCTTTGGACAGCGCTGGCTCTTTGGCTTTGAAACGGAGATGAGCACCGCAACCCTAGAGTCGGATTCGACTGGCTTTCGAGCAAGAGAACCTTTACCTTTACCTTAAACACAAATAAATACTAGCTATGATCCTCCCTCCCTCCCATACACACACAGACAGCCTATATAATGCAACTATATAACTGCAACTTAATTTAGTTCATGATTTGGGAACCTAATCCAGTCTTCTTTTGGTAACCCAGAAATCATTAAATTATCTAATGATTTTTTTAAAGTAGTTGCTGCATTTGTGTGTATTTTCCCTGTAAACCCAAAGACTTGATTTCTCTTTCTTTCTCCTTTGGCCAGATTGACCATCTCTGCAGAATGCCCAATGCAGCTTGAAGACTTCCCGATGGATGCCCATTCTTGCCCGTTAAAATTTGGAAGCTGGAAGTGTTGCATTCCTGCAAATCAGCTCCAGGAATAATATCTTTATTTGGCTCGTGTGGTCAGTGGGGGCAGCTTGACTCTATGTGAAGGATCTGTCCATGTGGGCTCCGGACCACGGAAACCACACAGGAGCGAAAGACCTTTTCTGGGTCAAGCCACTTTCTGCTGTATTGCTGAGCAAGATAGCCTGACTGTGGCTGCTTTCACAGAATCCCAGTGACGATCATGCCAGTTGTGAACCAGGCTCCCTTTGTATAACAGGATAACATTGCATGAGCGAGCGGAATTGATCCAGCAGATGAAATGTACACTCAACTACAGGATTTATACTAGATGGTGGTGATTTGGACTCTTTTGTGAGGTCATGCAAAGGGGGGTGTTAATGGCTCCCTGTGGAGCCCTCCCTCGTGCCTTAGCATTGCTTTTGTCTCCATCATAATCAATGTAAGAAAATATTTTGGGGGGGATACATTTTATTTCATAATTCGAACAGGCCTGTGGTACATTTATTCATCGTGACCTTTAAAGAGAACAAGCTAATTGAGGGGGGACTGGGGATTTTATAGTTTTGTGAAAAGGGTAATTCTGTTAAATCTCAGATTGCGCTAGGATAGTATTTACATGTGTACTATTATGTGGTGTTCCGCTATCCAGTATGGATAACGTTTCAGCAGATATATAATCATGCATGGAATTATTTCTCCAGAGACACGCAATGTGCCTGCTTTTTCTCAGGAACGCAGCACAAGTTACATTCCTGAACAATATGTGTAAGGGTCAGACTTAAAGCACTTCGGGGGGGGGGAGGGCTAGCATCATATTCCAGCTCCTAACTCTGGGGGAAGAATTCACAAAAATGGGCACCAATAAATGAAACCGCTCACATACAGAGGATTGCAAGCTGCAATTGAGAAAAGGTGTGTGGCCCTTGAACAACTCCGCAGCCACAAAAAGTGATACAGCCATACTTCCCATCTCTTTTCCTCCTCTAGTCCTCTCATCCCTCCTCACCTCCTCTTCTTCTGTGGATTCTAGTTTGCTCCAGGAGAAAGGAAGATTTGGGGGGGGGGAATGATCAGCATGAGTTACGGCACAGTTGCATTGCCTTTTGCTGCTTGGGAAGGGTCCATGGCTCAGTGACAGAGCATCTGCTTGGCATGCAGAAGGTCCCAAGTTCAATCCCCAGCACTGGGGTACAACATAAGAAACCTGAGAGGCATCTATGCCAGGGGAAGCACAAACTCCCTTAACCACAAACTCACTTAAGAGTATCAAGTAGCAGATGATGAGATACCCTTCTTTGGGAGAGCAGCTGCCAGTCTGAGTACGCAATACTGACTTCAATTGACCTCAATATAAGACAGCTTCTGACTCAATATAAGACAGCTTCATGTGTTCACGGGTATCAGTTGAGAGCTTCATATCCATTGCAGCCTGGCAGTCTACACACAGAATATTCCACAAACTCTGACCTGTACTTTTATTCCCCTTGAAATCTTCTGTTGTCCACGAAGCATTCTGACCATCATGCTGTTCAGTGTTACCCTGTCAGTCAACATGGAACCTGCTGCCATTTCTTGCCAGGAACAAGTTAACAGCTACCAAAATGGACAGTGGTTTTTTTGGGGGAAGGGGTGCTAGTCAAGAGGGAGTTTGTCCTTCCCCTGGCATAGCTGCCTCTCAGGTTTGCCATGTTGTACCCCAGTGAAGAGATTCTGCCTGTAAAACCCTGGGTCCTTGGTTGTTGAGGCCTACCATGCATTGGTTTTTGGTTCTATGCAGAGGCCTCTGTTTCAGAGTGGGTCTCGAGTGGGGAAGCTAGCCTCTGTCTCCTCCTTAGTCAGCTTCTCTCCTCTTTGGTTGCTGTGTAAAGAGAATGGAGGAGGAGCTCAGCAAGTTCCCCTGCAGCGAAACAGATGCCCTTCCTCAAGGGTTGCTATGTCCTTCCTAGCCACTGGTGGGGGATGGAAGGGTAGGGCTGCCATGTCCAGGTTGGGAAACTTCTGAAGGTTTGGGAATGGAGCTTGGGGAGGACGGGAACCTCAATGGGGTACAATGCCATAGAGTCCACCCTCCAAAGCAGCTTGATCTCTGTAGTCTGGAGATGAGCTGTAGTTCTGGAGGATCCTGAGGTTCCACCTGGAAGCTGGCATCCCTTTTTTCCTCCACGTAGTAATGTGGCAATCCCCACTGCTTAAAATATCCTTGGAGAACCTCACACCAAAGCTGTGTGGAAGGCCAGTAGATGAGAACGTCACACCAGAGTTATGCAGAAGGCCAATAGAGACTCCAAGCACTGCTGCTTAGATTGAGATGCCAAGTTGTGTTTTGAGAGTGCCAAGAGTGGCACGGGCTGGAATTCATAAGGAACTTTCCAGTTTGTAAAGAAAAAACAAAGGTGACATGAGAATGACTCAAGTACTCGGCAGCCTTGCAACTCTTACCCACGTATGCATTCAGCCTCTAACCCAGTAATTTGTTTCCTTTTCAGACCCCACAGGCCATCTTGAATGTCTCCAAACGTGTCTAGGCTCTGAGCCACTTTGCATGTAGGAGTACTCGTTGTTTGGCAACCTTGGCAATTGTGGGCTTTGCAAAAAGAAAATTATTAGAAGAACTTCCTTTGGCTTTATGATTTTTTTCCCCTTTCTTTCGCTGTTGTTTAAACATCGGGAACGTGGGCATAAATGGGATCCCTGCGTGCGAGGGGAAATGACAGCCAACAGGTCAGCCTTCACTTTGTTAATCGGGCTGCCTTTCCCCTCGAAAAACACAAAATTTCCCTCCCAGACACAGCATGACAAACTTGTATCAAATTAGCCCCTGCAAGAGTACCATGCACTGAAGTAAAATCTATAATACTTTCCTGCCGAGTCTGCTACAAATAGTGTATGCCCGCCTTGATTCTTCTGCCTTTCCCTTTCTCTTTTAAGTGGCTTCCCTATTGAAAGTCTGTTTCTTTTTATCCACTCTTAAAAATAAAGGGGTGGGGATGTTGTGTAAGTTAATTTTGATCTGAAATGGCAGAGTAGTTTGTGGGGAGGAGTCATCCAGGTAGACAGCGGGGGGTAAATAGCAGGAGGGACATACAACATAGAGGATGGAAATTGCGCCAGAGGGAAGCACGGCGTTCCAGGTCGGACCAGCGGGTGACCGGAAGCAATGGGAAGGCACAGTACATTACGATCTTTGGAAGATGTGCTCGGAATAAACATTTCTTTGCTTATTAGAATAGTTAGCAATGAAAATGAATGTTTTCTCTTTTTAAAGGGTATTTTCCCCCTTGAAGTTGTGCAGATGTCCCAATTGAAGACAAGCTGTAATGATATTGGGTGTGTGTGTGTGTCTATTGTTGCGTCAAGGAATAAGCCCAGCAAAATCAGTGAGGTGGTAACTCTGAATGTTCTCACTTTTGTTTGGCAAACATAGGTAACCTTTATCATCTTCATTTTTTGCATATCAAAGGCTTAGGGTTTAGCTGGAGACCCAGTATGGTGTAGTGGTTAAGCGTGTCAGTCTAGTATCTGGGAGACCAACGTTCAAATCTCCACTCGTGCCATGGAAGCTCACTGGGTAACCTTGGGACAGCCTAACCTCCCTTACAGGGTTCTTGTGAAGATCACATGGAGGAAAGGAGAACGATGCAAGCCATTCTGGGTCACCACTGGGGAGAAAAGCGGGATCACAAATGAATTAAATCAATAAATTCAGGGTTGAGTGAGACGTGACGGGAATTGCGGGTCTCTTGTAGAGGTGAATGGCAGCTGTGCAGGGCCCTGATTCAGGGCCGTGCAGGGAGGGGAGAGCAGGTTTTATTCTTCCCACCCATTTCACTGATCGAAACTGAGCCCCACTGCCACCTGTTAGCCCTTCAAAGAAAAAAGAAAAACAGGTATCTGTCATTTTTCTTTAAACAGTTAGGAATGTGCTGGGGGTACAGAGCTTGGTTTTGATTAGTGAAAGCTTTAAAAGTTGCTGTCCTGTCCTGTCCTGTCCACCTCAACCCATAGATCTCTTTCCAGCCTTTCTGTGTAACTTGAAAGCACATTGAACTAGGATTGGGAAGACCCAGGTTTGAATCCCCGTTCTATCTTGAAACTTGCTGGGTGACTATGGGCCAGCCTCTTCCCCTCAGGTTTGTGATGATAAAATGGAGGCAGGAAGAATTAGGTGCATTGCCCTTAGCTGTTTCGAAGAAGGGTGTGATGAAAATGTACTAAACAAATATATAAATAAAACCTGGCCAATAAGTACAGATATTGCCTTCTCCTTTTTACTGTTGCTGTGTTGGAAGCAGAGTGGCCCCAAGTCCCCTAGAAGATCGAAAGACGTTGTCTTCTGTTCTCCTCTGTGCAAGTAATATTTTGCAGGCCTGGTGAATTCCAGCCAAACGCCTCTCTCTCCCCTCCCCTACCACAGCAGAGTCTTCGACTCCCTCAATTGGCTCTGTAAAAACGTTGCAGGTAACTGCACCAGGCTTCCCAGCAGCCCAACAGGAGCAGAAAATTATGGCTATGATTTTATACAAACAATCAAGCCAGAGCAAAGTGAGGTTAATTGACTTTCTTTGAAAGCTCTACCAGTAAAGCAGTCAGGGGATTTCACCCAGGTGCTGTAGTCTGCTGAGCCAATGCCTGGTCCTGGCAAAAAAGAAGCCCTCCTGCCCAGATGACTAACAACTCTTCAGTCTCATTTGGCACGTGATGTTAATGATATTGCATTCACCCCAGTCAGAGATTACATGATGCTTGTCTTGTTCTGACAATGAAATAGCAAAAGTAAAGGAAGCTTGACTGAGGCTTTGAAGTTTTCTATACTGTTGATAGAAGGCTACCACTAATCTTCAGAAACATCCTAAGATTTCTTCTGTGTGCTGGAATAGTATTCTCCAAAATGCAAAGAATGGAATTCTTTGAGCAAGTTGACAGGCGTGTGGACGGTGGTGATACCTGCATACTTGACCTTACTTATTTAATATAGTTCTATACCACTTTTCTGCAGTGCT